TATTAAAAGCATTTAATTGGAATGCAATGCAATCGCTACAGATATCATTTTACTGTATTATAATTATGAAGATATCATATATATATTTTTGATTAATATTAATTCTAATATGAATAAAATTGTAATTAGTGAATAATAACAGCGTAGTTACCATAATAAGTAAACAAACAAACCGGGTTTTCGTAACACTTTAAAACCCTATAAAATATTATTCGACATTCAGTAGACATCTAACCATTAACGGGAAGAAAAGTAGTATAATTCTTCAGTCAATGCTTGTCAATGGTTCAGGAATAACTCATTATGTGTAAGTACTTGTAACATTAGGGTACTTGATATATTCTGCCACTGACTTATAGACATACCTATACCTATATTAAAAAAAAGTCAAGTGCCTAAGACCTAACTAGACTCTTTCTTTCTTACTACTTGACCTATTTTCTTAATTCTCATTTCTAATTTATATAGTTCTATTAAATGTGACAAAATAGTTCACTGCTAAAAATAAGTTTGTACGCTGTTTAAGTTTTCATTAATGATACAATTATAGTAGAATAATACAGAAATAGAAATACTTTTTAATCAAATAAAATGATGCGAATTAGGATAGAGAGAAAAGATTAGAAGCGTGCGGGTGAAGCCTTTAGCAGCAATGGGACCTAGCACCTATAGGCTATAACAAATAAGAACTATGAAAAAGTTTCTTTTGTCTACCACACATTTGAAATACAGAATCAGTTGAAAAGTATAAACATGAAACGTGAATATAAATGTTGTTGCATACTTTTTACACCTAGAACAAGGATATAAACTTTGTCTTACTGCATTATTTAGTGTACGTATTATTAGAAACCGGTAAAATACCAGCAATCATCGCAATGACATGTCGCGAACCGTGAGACAAAACAATGGTGTCTCGTGGGAACGCAGTGATTGCCCACCCTCGGGTCGCGGGTTCGAGCGCCGAGCCACGCTGTGGAACGGTGGGGTGCGAAAAGCCCTGATGTCCGAACATAAGTACGTTTTATAATATTACATTTTCAAGTTACGTGCCCCGATAAAAAATACTATTAGATATCAAGAAACAGCTGAACGAATAATGCTTCATTAGTAAAGTTGCTTATTATTTTAAATTAGTCTGCTTTATTTAGACACAATGAAATCAACACTTTATCATTTGTAATTAAGGTTTGAGTTGCAACGAAATTTATAATCCGAACTCGTTTATTCTCTTCAAGAATAAGTTAGACATCGTCATATTCATCTTCAGTCTTCAGTTTGTGCGGTGTGTAGTGTTAAGAGTTCAGAAATTTATGAAAACGAAACATAATATTGAATATTACAGTTATATTAATTACAATACTTGCCGGTCTACTATCTTTGTTGTAAATATTAGTTAGGTTATGTAGTTTTTTTATGTAGGTAATTGGAATAGCAAACAAGCTTAGTGCCCACCTGGTAAGTGGTAGCCATCATTGTTCCTAATATCACTCTTAAAACCAAAACATAGCATTGGCGGTTGAAATGGGCGAGACAGATGTATGCAGCGAATTTTTAGTAAATCTGCAATAGCAAAGTTTAGAATAAGTAATAAAGTCTGTAATTACAAAAAAAATTGATGGAATTGAGTACAACTAGCTTACGAAACTACTACTACTAATTTTACTAACAACATAGTTTATGTGGAATGTTTCTTACTTTTGCACCATGAATTTTCTGAATAGATTACAACGACATTCAATATACTGATATAACATATTCTATAGTAATATATATAATATTTATACGCCGCGTAATATTGCTACTATGGAAAGAACTTGTATCAAAAAAGACACGATACCAGAAAAGAGTATTGCTTCAGTATTTCTGTACCTACATTTGCTATGTTATTATTATAAGTGACCTCTTTGCGAATCCAAAACTAATTTAGATAATGTTTTTTCTAATGAATAAGGTGTTTGTTTCGAGGTAATATTGATTTATGTGAAATTAGTTTGCTATAAAATGATATCCGGCAATCAATTTAAAAACATTATAAGATTTAGTTAACATAGTTAACATAGTACAAAAATGAATTTTCAAAGTTTAGTTCATAAAGCTGAATTGTAGGTATATGTATGTAAGTACGTATATCTACTTTATTTTAGTCACTCCCTACTCGAGAACTGTTTTATTTTTTTTCTTTAGATTTCAATATATATTCCACTGCATTTACCTCAGAACTTATTTACATTTGAACTGATTAGTTTTTTTTTAATTAAAACCTTGTGCCCAGAATAATTTTTATCAAGATTTGACCAGTAGTTTTCTTCTTAATACTGAAAAAAACTTGGTTAATTTAAGTAATTCAGTGTGATAAATATCTTCAAGAGTACAAAGATCGTTATACCTCACTTGTCACATTACTCTCGCCCGCCCTACACCGCACTAAGTGAAAATAGTGTTTAAATTAATTCAGCTTAAACACAGGGGCGTATTTTCGTTCGGATTAAGTTCATTTCTTCCCTTGGGACGAAAAAGTGGCCGAAATTCTATCAACTACTCGGGGATTTGATTAAATCCCGCCTCACCCCTTGCGTGTTGACAGTAATTGATTGAAATGCGCGTTTCTGTACGATTGATTTTATATCTGTGTCAATGCAATTTTTATTTATAACTTTATACACACTTATTATTAAATATTTAATCCTTATTTACATGTATTATGCATATAAATTCCTTAATAGATCTATAGAAATAATTTTAAGTGTAATAATTTTATATTTTTTTCATATAAGAAATTATTTTACCTCTACTTCATTTGTACTTTACATCGGAAATAAACTCTAGAATTACTTTCAGTACTTATACTAGTAGAACAAATTAAAGCATAATTCTAATATTTTTAGGTAAGTGCTGGGATTTTTTCACTTGCATTATATATATATTCTATATTACCCTGACTGTATTTTGCGTAAGAGGATCAGTAATGAGATTTACATTTTTATTTATTTACCTTTTATAAAATATAGGTACTATACGTAGTAGTATAGTTCACTTCATATGCCAAAAATATTAGTGGCATTATTATTTTAGTTATCAATAATACCTTCACAAAATTTATTGTAATATTAAGAAATCGCTGGTTGGAATGAATTCTTTTTTAGGTAATTACGTAAACGAATCATACACTTATTTGTCACCAAAATCGCTAATGATATATTTAAATATATTATATAATTTATGTATAACTGCTTGGTATATTTGATGGAGCACTAAATGTTGCCTACTATAACTAGGTAATTATTATAATAGAAACATGTCAAATTTTACTGAAATTATTTATGTAACCGAACATTTTTTATTAACAAAAAGAGAACAAAAAATACTTTACGTCTCTTCATAGAAGCTTACCTGAAGTAATTTTTTTTATTAGCCATTCGGGCTATATTTCTTCTGAACTTAATATTCGGATTCAATACTTACTATTTCTGTATTTAGGAACATCTCACTGATACAATTTTTTCTGCTAACTAGTTTTTTTTAATTAGAGTAACTTTATAAGTCGTCTGTATACTTTAATCTCATCTATTTCTGACAACAAAAAGATTGCTTTACAAGTGGTATTCCAGTAGTATGTAAAATTATATTGTACAGACTGTAATAAATAAGTTCTTAGTAATTTGTCCAACGAACAAGGAATATGGAAATCACAATATATTTTAGGTATACTGAGCATGTCCATATATAACTTATGGCGACTATATGTAGGTATTATTACTTGATATCAAGTGCGCAGTCAGATTATTAACATTGACTAATAAAGAGTATGTAAGAATTACATTTTTATGTTATATCAATTTTGTTTACGTTCATATTATATATAAGAGCTCTCTTATTTCTATCTATAGTCTTTAAAAATATATTGTTTTACTAAATAAGATACAAAAAATACCAAAAACTATAGTTAGCTTCTCAAATATAAAATTAAATATATTATTTTGCTAAATATAAGTTCATGTGCTTTGTGTGTAGAAATTATATTTGTTTCCCCAACAAGCTCATTATTACCACGATTCTTAGTAAGTATACGAAAATTAGGTCGTGATCTTTTTATTCATTAGAAATAGCCCTATCGATTGCAAAAATAATAAATAAAACTTATTCCGAACCCACAAATATATCAAGTTACATTTACCAACACATAAAAAATCAATCTAAAATAGTTTTGAAGAATATTGAAAATTATGATCGTATAAGTAAGAATTACTGGCATTTAACTAATATATAATTTATTTATATTATAAAGATATTAATGATTAAATCTTATATTAATATATAAATATGTTTATAACATAGCGTCTTGATGAAAATGAATCTAAAAGTAGTAATATTGCGTTGAAGTCTTTTGTGGGTGATATCAAGATGCCTACGCGTATTATTAATTTGAATACATATTTTGTTTAGTTTAGACTTTCGATAAGTATGTTTACCTATTTATTATAATAAATATAAAGTTAATGTGAGTACAATGTATTATAATGTACATTGTCTCAAGTTTTATCAATAGTAAATTTTTATTGATAATAAAAGAAATTTCATTTAAAAATTTCCACCCTTTCTCGTATTTAAAAAAAAACATGTACTATTTTAAGTTACAAGTGCAATAAAGAATATTTAAATTAAACTTGATTCAATTTAATAAATCTTCTTTGTTCAAGTAAAACAAAAAAGTGTCTTGTCATATTGAAATGTATAATTTTAATATCAATATATAATGCGTATATACCTATATTGAAATCTCTTTTTATACTATATTATTTTACTTATTTTCAATATACAAAAACATGTTAAAAGTAATATGTACCTAATAGATTAGCAAAATATCTAAATTAATTTTAATAATTATATCATGTGGGTAATAAAGATGTGATTTTTACGCAGGTAGTTCTTAGTAGAAACTATAACAGGGGAGCACTTGGGATCATAGAACAAAACAGCAAGTACAATTTTAACGCGTCGTTTATTGATAACTTCATCTTTTTCTTCAATATACTTTGTGTCCACTGACTATATAACACTCACTGTACATTTTCGTATTACAATATTAGTCTTTCGAGGCTTTATAACTTTCGTTTCCATATAACAAATATTTTGTACAACGCACGGGGGTGCGAGTGTGGCGTCGTGGCACGACTTATCTCTATCTAACTACATTTTATCGACTAAAACCAACTCTAGCATTTAACACTATATTTACAAATTGTTCAAATTTTTTTGGTATTCAAATTACCGCTGTCACTACGTCATCTCTCGCGCTACCCTCAGTCAATATTCTCGCGTCCATCCACACGACAACTTAAAATATTTTAACTTAAATCATGAAAAAATACATTAATCATAATATAATACAATTCATCAACAACATTAATTGAACTTTTGGCCGTCGGCGACGGGCCAGTAACTCGTGAAGTCAACAGTTCGCAACACTAACAGCGGCGAGGGCCGGGGCCCGCACACTATACAAAACAAATAAATGGACATACCTAGAAGTATGTACAGCCGGGGAATAACGATCACTGTCCTAACGCGGCAACCAATTCGCAACAAAGTCACTGGTGGCGTCGAGGTGCGCGGCGACTCGACCAGCTCATAGCGGCGGGATGTCGATGTCGCACGCGAAAGGCGATTCTCAGATGAGCGGCATCGCGCGCTCACCGGCGGCCGCGTACCGCTGTTCATCTGGCACATGGTACATGTTGATGATGTGGCTCAGGTCCTGCTGACCGTACTCGCGCTTCATCGACAGCTGCTCGTGAGCGTGCGCATGCGGTGCAAATTCCCGTTTCAACTGCGCCTGGGGCTCGTGTGTAACAAACTCGCGTTTTAATCCCGGAGGTCCAGGAGACACAGGCTCCGATTTCGCGGATGAACCGCTTGGTGAATGCGATGCGCATGACGGTGGCAGCGCGTAACCACCCGGCGAGCCAGGTCCTAGGCCGTACGCGGACGGCGATGGTGGCTGTGGGAGATAAGGCGAGCCCTGACCGCCACCGTAGTATCCACCACCGTATCCACCTTGCTGCATTTGTGATACGTCGTAACGTGGATAACCATACGCTTGCTGTTGGTATGCGCTCGGGTCGTGCATCATGTATCCATTAGGCATATAACCATTAGGTGTCATTTGGTACACATCACGCGGCTGCTGGGCCGTCGGCGCTGATGTTCTTTGTCCCTCGCCTGCACCTAATAATGCTCCACCACCTAGTGGATATTTTTCTTGCTTTTTAGCAAGCGTCTTCGTCTTCCTCCTTGGTCTGTATTTATAATCCGGATGCTCTTTCATGTGAACGGCTCGAAGTCTCTTCGCCTCGTCGATGAACGGTCGCTTTTCAGATTCTGATAAATCTTTCCACTGTGCACCCAATCGTTTGGAGATTTCTGAATTATGCATTTTGGGGTTATCTGATGCCATCTTCCTGCGTTGCCCCCGTGACCACACCATAAAAGCATTCATAGGACGTTTAACACGGTCTGCATTTGAGTTTTTGCTGGTATTGTTATTGTTGTTGTTGGGCGGTTGATGGTGTTGTTGTTGGGGCTGCGCGTGGTGCTGCGGTAGAGGTTGGTGGTGCTGATGCTGCAGCGGTTGGTGTTGTCCCAGCGGCTGTTGCTGCGGCAGAGCCATCATGCCACCTAGCGCGCCCAGCGAGCCGTAGCCGTGCTGGAGCGCGTGGTGCGGCGGCACGGTAGCGTGCAGGCTGCCGCCTTTCAAATCCGTCTCCATCGTCAACATGTCGTCTTCCTGCGGCGCGTACAGCTTGCCGATCCTTCGTTCACTGTACACAACGAGAGAACCGTCGGTCGTTCACATGGACTCGCGGCGGTGCGCGTCGAGATAACGTTTCGCGGTACCGTACGGTGCGGAGGCTACGTGCGTTGTGAGGAGGCTCGCTTGCCGGGCGGCGGTGACTGCGGGCTCTCCCCGCGCGGGCTCCCCTGGGGGCCCGCCCGCCTGGGCCTACACCAATGGGAGCGGCGAGCGCGGCCCCGCCCCGCCCGCGCTCTCCCACCCGCCGCGGCCTGCATTTTTAATCGCGTGGCCTGCGAGGTGAGCGTACGCCTCACCGCCGACTCATGCAAATCTCAATTTTGTTTGCCGTCGGTGCTTGCACCTTCATGGCCTTACTTTATAATGTAAACAAAATGCAGTACCATATGTAGTACCTAGAAGTATGATTTATATTAGCCATTTATTTATAATAATAATCCACTTTACTTCTTTCTCTGTTTTAAAACAAGTTTCTTAATATGTGAGTACTGAGACTGATCCAATAAATTAACATGGTACTAATTCGAAAAATCTATATTCATAGTAGATGATACTGATATAAAACTATATTTTAATAAATACTTATAGATACTACCTAAGGGTAACATTAATTAAAGAACATTTAGTTACTTAACTACATTACTGTCTGAATAAAGCAATCCAGTATTGTTATAAATAATCATTTTATAACTGCTAAGTATATACGACAATGAAAATTATCAAAAGAGGTGCCATATTGTAACAAAAATGTGTGTCTACGAGATTTTTACATAATGACGTAGGCAGTATGTCTATTGTATGTTCAGCTGTTATAAGTTCAAGGCCCCGCGACAATGTAGTGAGCCTATTCAGTGAAAGAACCGCTAGCACAATGATTCGGGCACAGTCAATGATCACACTCATTCTCACTTCATTGTCTAGGATACTCACTACTGTAATTGACTGTATACTGTTTGTTTTGATTCAATCACACCTATTCAGACTTGTTTATACAGATTTAAGGCTTATTTTAATTTATTGTTATAAAAAATATACAAATAAATGTAATAAATTTATATGATTTTTAATTGTGGAAATGAGTAGGTAAATATGTAGGTAGTATGTTTGTGTATACCCATCTGATTATTGATGTCTATTTTGCTTTTCCTTTTGTGTTAAAATAACCTACAGTAGGTAAGGTATTTATAAATGCATACCTACTATACATTTAATTGTAGGTAAATGTTATTTTTTGCTATTTGTTATGACATTATCTACTTTTTTAAGGGGACTATTTATATAAATATACCTCTAGGTATATATTTAAGATTATACAAACCCTGTTCTTAACACTCTCCTACATTAAGTCTGAAAGTACGTTCTAACATCTATTTGCGTATTTGTTTCCCATAATAGTTTTGGGGTTGTCTCTTCATCATTATATAGTATAAAACAAAGTCGCTGTCGTTGTCTGTCCCTAACTATGCTTAGATCTTTGAAACTACGTAACGGAGTTTGAAGCGGTTTTTTTTAATAGATAGTGATTCAAGAGGAAGGTTTATATGTGTAATACATGTACACCCGTGCAAAGCTGGGGTGGGTAGCTAGTAATAATATAAATATCTAAATATTTTACTATATCTACATAGTTGTCCATACAGCTACTAAGTTATATGAGAATAATTTATTAATATCAAATTTTAGTTATACCTATAAACGACTAACTTTACCGGCAACTTCGTTTGATTCTTATAATATGAGTATGGATTATATGATATGTAAAATATGAGTATGGATGTAATTAACTCGTGTTTTCTATTTTGATATACCTACTGACACTATTACTTACCTATTGACATTTACAGTATTTTTTTTTTATCTATTCCAATATCACTGTTATGTAAGACAGAGGTCTTACCTAATTCTGCACCGTTATGATGACAAATTGTCTTCGTTTCAGACGGGAGATTACCATATGAGAATAAAATTACAGGATGTTGCGGTTTAAAATCACTGTTACAAAGCCCAACGCAAGAGATTCTGTTGTTAGATCTCTATTTATAGGCTGCGATATTTGCATGCAAGGAGATCAGAGAAAAATTGCTTTTTTCTATAACTCGCCTATAATAAGATACCAGAATGTTAATATTACCTACACATTCAATGTTAAGGTTGCCTGGAAGAAATAGCTATTTAGCGATAAGGCCGCCCATTGTTACTTCTTTGTCTTGTTTATTATGGTTTTTTTTTTATCATTTTATACATAATTGTGTATGTAACTGTATTTTCTGAGAAAGGAACAATAATTTTCAAGTCAAATAAGTTTCATTTATTCATTCATGCTAAGGCTTATAAAACTCATAACCTAGTGAGCACATACAAACATATTCTACTTAGGTATTATGGCTTCATGAAAAGGAGTTTAATAGACTTTCAGGTTGCCATTATGATTTACTATTTATTTTTTTCGAAATTATCATAACCAATAAGTAATTAATATACCTACCCAATAAATATATATTTATAGTTACATATTAAGCAATAATTGCATTTATTAGTGTTGGTGTACCACTTAGGTAGTATTGGCAATATGAGAGTTGTGTTTCGCTCTGAACTATCTTCTGAATCTGAACTAACTTCTGTCTTGAACTAATCTATGATGAATAAAACCATAGTTCTGAAGAGTAGATTCCAAATGAGGAGTCTAGATAAACTTGGTATTTATTTAGACTTAGTATATATATATATATCCAAGAAGTACCTACTATTAATAATTGTATACTGTCTGTAAAATAACATGACATACCTATCTACAAGATGTTTGTAGTTTTTATGGTATCCGTATCTGTACCATAAAAAGTATAATTTCCAATAAATTTATCTATCTACAACTGTACTTTATATAAAAAGTAACCCCTGAACTAAAACCATGGCCAGGTAACCCAATGTTTCTCTGAACTCCTTTTCTATAGACAATAAAACTACCAAGGTATGTTAGATAAGAGCACATTGTTTCAGATTTTCTAACAATGTTTTATGACTGCTCTGTCATTAGGGTTCCTTTGTTAAAACGGTTGTCTGTACTAGAGGTAATATTTTCTGGTAACTGTTATCGCTACTACGAATGTTGACCTTGATGATTTAAAAATGGGATACAGAAATGAAATGCACTAGATGTGGTGTTGTGGTTTTTATTGAAAATTTAACAATGATTGCAGTAAGGTGGTAAAATAACATGCGTACAATTACAATTGCGACATTAAATGTAAATAGTATAACTATAGGAAATGGATAAATTAAAACTAAAGTTAATTTTAATTGCCTAAATATTACAATAACATTGCCTACGTTTTAACAATTCTTGTAAAAAAATAGTTTCATTTTATATATGAAAAATTTAGTGATATCTGTAATATGTATTTATATGTATATATTTAGTCCTAAAAATATAATATACATTATTACAGATACAATTTTGCATTTAGTACCTATCTAAAATCTGTAACACGTTGCAGCCTCATCTAATTAATAAACTCAAAAGTAAACACTATTTACAAATAAGTTAACATATTATTTACTGCAACACTTATTTGGTACCTATATTATATAGATTTATTATTATGGAACTATTGTTATATGAACATGCTACTATTATTAGAATATATGAACATAATACATAAATTTAAATTAATATTTAATTATACATATTAATTATAAATTGTAAAAAGTTGGTACTACCTACAAATGTGTAAACTTTGGATATCTTTCATCTAGGTAAGCTCTACTAGGTATGTAGTTAAAAGACCATATAAAATACAATCCTGAGCTAAAGATGATCAAATTGTAACTAACAATAACAAAATAGCTATACCAGGTATCTGTATATTTTTTTGTTGTATTTAAAAAAAAATCTAGGTATGTATTTATATCAATAGTACCTATCCATAAAACAAGCTTTGCTTAGCTTGGGACTAGATGGCGTTGTGTGAATTGTTCTAAAACATTATTCTTATTATATGTTCGTAAATATATTTGTTTATATGCTTTTGTCATAAGTACAAATATGTCGAAATAGATGTCCTTAAAACTATGTATTTATTTCCTTTCTTATTTTATAATAATTGCCAAAAAAAAACTTAAAATTAAACAAAACAATATTTGACAGATCCACTAGCACATTTTGTATTTACGCTACAAAATTGTTAGACCATGAAACGGTTGCTCTCAATGTTGCTGCGGCGCCATTTTGCTCCAGTTTCAATTAAATGAATCCTCATTTAGAGTCGACGCCGTTAAATGTGGAAATCCCTTGACATGCCCCCGGGATAATCTTACCGTGACAGAGTGCGGTTGCATTATACACAATATCTTCTGGCATAATACCTATCTATATCTATACACATGTATACATTTTTACAATATATATTATTTGTATTATTCTCAATTATAAGACTGAATTCCAAATTCCATCCAGTGCCATATATATAACGAGTGTATTAGGTATAAAATTATATCTTTAGGTACTTACTATTATAGAATTTTTATTATTACCTTCGTGAGTTTTACTAATCTGAGCATAGAGTTTATAACAAATATTTGTTAATCAAAAAATTTTAATGGGTGAAAATTAAAAGCTATTCAGCAAATTTATATTTAAATTTATAATTTTTTATTGCAGATTATTTTATCTTTTATGTATGATAAATACCATATAGATTGAAATGCATGTGATCGACATGTGTCATTACTATTTGTTGTTACTATTTTTCTATTTCTAATAAAAATCTACTGTAACAGTAGATAATAATATTACAGTAATTAATGTTCTATAAACTGTTCAATCTGTATAATATCTGTATCAATACAATGTTAACTAGAGAAATTGTTCAAGTACTGACCCCGAAACCAACTTAGTTTAGAGTTCAAGTGAGCGAAGTCGCGGTAACATGTAGGTATCTGTAATAGTAAATTGGTACAATTTGACGATATAGTTATATGATCAAGTTGATTGCTAGTTAAGTAATAATAATAATAATTTTTATATATTTCAAATAGTAAACTAACTATTACAATTGTTGTTCATAATAAAAGTAAGAGATATTAATTGAGACAAAAAGTG